GATGAGAGAAATTACATACTGAAAGTTAGGGAAAATCCAACGGTGAAAGTGACTAAAACAGAGAAGGAAAAAATTGTAACTTGAATGCCAGATTTACGCCTTTAGAAAGCGATTTATGAAAAACCAAGCTCATATTCAACATGAGAGTAGCAAGAAGTAATGATGGGGAGAATTTTGGCTTAATTTCGTCGAAAGATGACGGAGTACGACGACGTCGGTGGTGGATCACGACAATGTCGATGTAAGAATATGAAATTCTTTAAAGTTTTCAACCAGGTTCTTTTGTCCATAAATAAAGAAAGATAGAACAAAAGTTATACAGAGAGAAAAAATGGTAAAATGAAGAGAAAAGCTTAAGAGTAGGCTTTTATAGGATCAATAAAATGGTGTCATTTTGGCCAAGAAAATCGGGTTTCCTTTGACCCGTTTCAAGGATTTACATGTCAAATATTGGGTGATCCAACCTAGTTGCTCAGCGCAATCTTCTGTTCCAGTCTAGCTTCGCGTCATTTGAGTTCCAAGCTGAGCCGTTTTCTTGTGTGAAGCTGAGTCGAGGTGATTTTTCAGAGCCAAATCGCGAATTGTTTTGTGTATTCTTTATCCATTTTTGTCAATTTGCTCATTATTTGTCTTTTTTTTTAATGAGTAAAAAGGGATAAATGAATAAAGAAAATTTTTCAAAAAATATTTTTGAGGAAAAGTTAAAAGTATCAATTTTTCTTGAAAATAAAATTTCTAAAAAATATTTTTCAAAAAAAGTTGAAAGGATAAATTTTTCTTAAAAATAAAATCTTTAAAAAATATATTTCTAAAGAAAAGTTAGAAGTATCGATTTTTCTTAAAAATAAAATTTGAAGAAAAATATTTTTAAGGAAAAAGTTGATAGTATCAATTTTTCTTGTATAAAAGCATAAGTTTTTTTTCTTATAAAACAATAAAAAAGAGATCTCTATCAAAAGTTGAATCATCATCCATTTTTCCTTTTATTTTTTTTATTTCTCAAAATTTTTTTTAATGTTAAATAATCCAACAACGAAGTCTCCGCAAAAGAAACAATAATTTTCTTGCATACTCTTGAAATGAGAGAATTTTTTTAATTTTCTACCAAAAATATTGGAGTCAATTAAGAATAATTTTTAATAATTAATTACTTGGTAAAATCTTTAAGGCTTAATAGATGACACGAAATCGAACTGGTACTATCTTTCAATGGGTATTGTGAGGATGTTATAACCTTTTTCACACGTAATCGTACTCTTGAATATAATCCTAGTTCTGCAGACATTGAATTTACCTTTTCGAGATACCTAAGTCAAACTTAAGATTCCTCTTTTAAAAGGATAGATTTAGTTAGGTGACCAATCACACCTAAACAAAGATTGATAACGACTTCTCAAGTCAATGTCTAACGATGGATCCATGAATCTAGACGTTATGACAATCTGTCTAACAACATGACTCGTGAGTCTTGAAGTAGTAACATGTTGAGCCTTTAGTTTAACGATTAAAGGTGTTTGAAAGAACATCAAGAGATTGATTTCTTATCATATCTCTTCCTTTTTTCTTACTTATATTAAGATTTTACTCTACTAATGTAACAATATATATATATATATATATAGTACGCCACCGCACCCTAATGCAACGCGTGTTGAATACCATTTCCCTATTGTCTTGTTTGACAGATTCGGTAATGTTCCGCATTTTCACGGTCTTCCATTGCGGGTCAAAGAGCGGAAAACTATATCAACCAAGTTGAAAAATACCCAATCAATTTTCCAAGCAACGGATGAATTTTTTTTTTTTTTTCAAAATGCTCATTGGAATTTTTCCTTTTCACAATTACTTTTATTTACACTTTAGACATTGACTGTCAGCAAGAGAAATTATCACATTTATTGTAATTGAAATTTTTATATTTTACAAACAAATTTAACAAAATGACACGTACTATTTAAAATATAAGAAGATAAATTTTAAATTCACAAATTATATCAATAGATTTTTCAAATTCACCGTTAAATAGACATTCACCAAATCCATAAATTTGAAAATGATCATGAAAGTAGTATTTACATATATATGCCTTATCATACAATTTATATTAAATTTGAAATTTAATCTCTTTTTTTAAAATGCAACCATATATTTTATGCTATATATCCAATAAATCAATGGATTGTTTTTTGTTTTTAGCAAAATTAACTTGGATGTTCCCAATTGATTGGGACAAAGAAAACAATATGATGGCCTCAACTCACTATCTTGGCAAAAAATGGCATAGTTAAAAGTACATTTCACAAATGCACCACGCTTCTTTTGGTGAATAATTAATTATATTTCAACAGAAGGCCGTAATTACCCTTTTTTTTTTTTTTTTTACATGAAATCACCTATAGCCATAGCCATATTCCACTAATCTTCACTAAATCCCCCAATAATTTTTTCATGAAAGTCCCACGATGAAGACAAGTACATATTAAAAAGATTTATATATAGTAATTTTTTTTAACAATAAGAGATTAGGGTTTTTTTGGATGGTGTAAATAAAATTTCAATTACTTCAAAATGAGGCAAATAACTAGAACATTGAAAATATTTGAAGCTTCGGAACACCTACAATCTCTTCCTCTATTTTCATGTTTTGGCATATTTTTGTAAAAAAAAAAATAATTTTCCAGGCTTGTTTGGGCAATGAAAGTGGAGTAATTAACGTTAATACTAACATGTTTGATAGCCAAGAGTATTTCCATTCTGATCCAAGAAACACAAGTTGTATATTCTAAATTATAAGGGTTTGGATCATTTATCTGAATTAATCTATCGGCCAAAAATGGCACATTCTCTTCATGGCTTGAAAGAAAAGTTTATCTCTGATTTTAATGTGTGTTTCTTAAACTAGCAAGAAAAGCTGAAAGGGTACTTATTTCTCTTCATGACCAGTTAACATAGGATGGTAGGATCATTAAATTCGAAGGTTCTCTTTATTTCATAGAAATTGACTCCTACATTTTTTAATTTTCCTAGCAAAAAATTATTTGATCAATGAAAAAAGATTTACTGATCAACATAAAAAAAGTTATCTACGGATATAAGGGCTACTTGTTAACTCTGCGAACTTAGTTTGACTCGAAGTGAACTTTTGACATTATTTTTTAGGTTCAAACTTATGTTAACTTGACTCATAATAATATTATTATTAATTATTAATTTATTTAATTTTAATTCAAAAATTTTTAAATAATAAATTATTTTTATATAAAAAATATTTTAATATTTTAATTTTAAAAAATTCTCTTTTGAATATTATATATCAAACATAAATATTTCAATATTTTATTAATAACTATTATATATTGTTCTTTTAATAATAAATATTAATATGATAAATAATATTCTTATTAATTTAATTATGAATTTTTAATTAAAAATATTATTTTAATAATAATTTTTAATAATGTGAATATTTTTAAATTTAAAATATATAGTATTTAAAAATCTTAATGATAAATGTTTTTATATTACAATTTTAATAATAAATATAAATAAATAGTAATTTTTAATTCCATATAAAATATTACTACTTTAATACTGTAAATATTTTTTTATTTTAATAATAAATATTACTATTTTAATATTAATAAAATAACAATTCTATTGTAAATATTTTAACATATGAATAACATAAATAACATTTTAACAATAAATAGTATTTTTTAAGTATTTAATATTTTAATATTAAATAATATTATTTAAAATTTTTAATACCAAAATTTTACTAATTTGAATATTTCAATCATAAGTATTTTCACTAGTTGAATAATAAATTATTTTTAATGTTTTAATAATAATTAATTTAATATTTTAATAGTTCTGTCAATTATCTATTTCAAATGAAAAAAAGAAGAATTTTCAAAAAATTATTAAAACAACTGAAAATATTTTTTAAAAGTCAATTTTTGTGAACTGAAACATTTATGAATGTTGTGAGGATAAAGTGGGCGTCGCCAAACAAACATGCAATTAATTGATCAACAAAATTTTCACATTGCTTGCAAAATGTATTGACGGGTTTAAGACAATGTGAGAGCCGCATTTAGCAAGTTTCTTTCTTAAAATTCCTTCAAACCCCTCCTCCATTCGAACTGATCATCAAAATATTTCTGCAGTTCATCAAAATATTTCTGCTTCTATTCAGCTTTTCTTTCCCTGCTCAGTATAATTTGCTTTGGTTCTAATCATGCAATTCTTGTTATAATATTTAAAGATGTGGATTTGACTCGACAACTCAAGTAATTCTAGTTAAAAACGGGGCATGCACTAACCTTGGTATACAACGCCATGGTAAACTTATTATAGTAAAATCAAGGTTTTTTTTAATAAAAAAGAAAAAAATTGTTATATGATCGATGTAATGTTAAAAATTAATTCAAAAATATATAAATTTAATAATTTTAAATATGATATGATAACATGATATAAAAATAATATTATGAAAATATATATATATAATAACTTAATTTAAAATATTAACAAAAAATATATGATTTTGACAAAAATCAAAAATATTTTTTATTTGATATATCAACATAAATTATAAAATAAACATATATAATATACATGAATTGTTAGGAGTACATATGTATATGATTGTTTGATTATACTATTATTACATGAACAGGTAATGTCGAAAGAAGGAAGATTTTCAGCAAAAAAAAAAAAAAAGGAACGAAGATTTTAAGACATGAACTTTTCTTAAAATAAAATGCTACAGACAGAGATTCGGACATGAAAAGTGAGCCACCTTGAAGGGTAATTCCGTAAATATACGGTAACACACGAAGGTTGCCCTTCTTAAGGTTAGGTCACATGATTGCCCGAACCCGAAAATGGTCAGGTGGAGTATCAGAAGTCTCTTAACTTCTTCTCTCGACACGTAGCACCGTCCCTTAACCTTTGCATTTATTGGTTGAGGTTTCCCATCTTCTCCCTCTTTGCTCTCTCTCAATCCCTTCTTTAAATTCTTTTCCATTTCATCATTTATTTTCCAGCGTTGGATCCTCCATCCAACGACAGACATTAACTAAACGTACAAAATTGGGACCCCAAAGTTACATCAACTCGCTTTTGCTACGTACTTGTTTAGGCGTTAAACAAAGCAAAAGATTTTATTACCATAATTATTTTAGAAGGGTTTTAGTATGTCATCCAAAATTATAATGAAGTTCTTAGCTGACTATCTAAAAAGCTGAGAGTACAAATAGAGAAGGGGTTATTAAAGGTCAGCAAGAACAAGAACAAGAACACAGCTACCCTTTTCATTTCTTTGGTTTTTGGGAAGCTTTTTAGGGCTTGGGGTTTGTTGGAGATCAGAAACAAATGGGGAGAGGTAGGGTTGAGTTGAAGAGGATTGAGAACAAGATCAATAGGCAAGTAACTTTTGCTAAGAGAAGGAATGGACTTTTGAAGAAAGCCTATGAGCTTTCCGTTCTTTGTGATGCCGAGGTTGCTCTCATCATCTTCTCCAATAGAGGAAAGCTGTACGAGTTTTGCAGTAGTTCAAGGTATCACCAAAACAACTAAAGCTTTTTTTTTGTTGGTACCTTCTTTCAAAAGCAAAACCAAGCAAAAAAAAAAAAAAACACAAATACTACTACTACACTTCAGAAAACACAAAGGATTTTCCTTTTTTTTTTCTTTCTTTTTCTTCACAAAACAAAGCAAGCTCTCTCCTCTTTCTCTCTTTCTTCTCTTTACTTTTCTTTTTCGTTGTTTCTTTTGGCTTGCTTGCTTTGAATTCTGACTTTAGATCTTGAGAGGTTAAAGAGGTGGATTTTTTTGCTGTTTTGAGTGATTGGGTATTGAAGGTTAGAGAGAAATTTTGAGAAAAGAGTAAAAAAGTAAAGTTGTGTTTCAGTTTTGCCGTTTTGGTGAATGTCTCGGCGTTTATAGCATGGCCTGAGTGTTTTTGCTGTTCCAATTGATGTTAGATCTGCAAGTGAAAACCATATAAAGAAGATCACTGTTATATTGACCCTAATTTCATGTCTTTTTTCTTTTCTTTTTAGTTTCCCCAAAGCCCTTTCATTCCTTCTCTTTTTTCCCGTTTTATCTTCTGAATTTCTCTTCTTTTTTTTTTTTTTGCTTAATCCTTTATGCTTATAAAGTTTAATCTCTGATCTAACATTTTTCAAGTTTAACATACAGTTTTTCTCTACATTGAAGAAGCTCAGAGATCTGTTCCATGCTAGTAATTTTCTTTGGAGTTAATGAATTAGTTTTTTGTACCTTTTTGTTCCTCCAAGATTTAAAAAAAAAAAACTGAATAAAGGTTTACTTTTGTTTTTTTACTTGCTTTTTCAATCATTCAAGCTTTGATTAGATCTTTTGTCTTTCCATTTTGTTCTTAATCACTATAAATCAAGGTTATTAACTACTCAGTCAAACCAATATTCAAAATCTTTTATACAAAAAGCTTTTAATCTTCTTTTGTAACTTCTATTTAATCAGTTTAGTTTGCTTAAAAGTTTACAGGATCTTCCAACTTTGTTAAGCTGCAAGTTTCTGTTCCTTGGATGGATTGTAAAGTCTTTTACACAAAAAGCTTTTAATCTTCTCTTGTAACTTCTATTTAATTAATCAGTTTAATTTGCTTAAAAGTTTACAGGATCTTCCATCTTTGTTAAGCTGCAAGTTTCTGTTCCTTGGATGGATTGTAAAGTCTTTTACACAAAAAGCTTTTAATCTTCTCTTGTAACTTCTATTTAATCAGTTTAATTTGCTTAAAAGTTTACAGGATCTTCCATCTTTGTTAAGCTGCAAGTTTCTGTTCCTTGGATGGATTGTAAAGTCTTTTACACAAAAAGCTTTTAATCTTCTTTTGTAACTTCTATTTAATCAGTTTAATTTGTTTAAAAGTTTACAGGATCTTCCATCTTTGTTAAGCTGCAAGTTTCTCTTCCTTGGATGAATTGTAAATTTTGCGTTGAGCAATTTGGAACTATGATTTTGTTAGTGGAAAGTGAAAACATTTTTGAAAACAAAACAGACAAAAAAACAATGGATCATAGTAAAATTGCTCAAAGCTGTCTTCTGATCCATACGGACAGCTTCGGATGTTACTAATCAATCAAAGCAGCGAAGACCAATAAGAGATTTCACAGAATCGTTTCTATTCTTTGGGTGATCGAGTCTTTTCTTTCATACAAACGAACTCCCTTCTTTCCAGAGGATTATATTACCACTCTCTCTCTCTCTCTCTCTCTCTCTCTCTGAGAATATATCAATCAGTTAAAAGTGGATGGAGACATCTCCATGAATGCCTCTGAGCTCTTAGGGTTTTGATTTTCCCAAAGCTGGTTCCCCAGGATAGGGTTTCAACTTTCAATTCTTTAAGTTTAAACTTAAACTCTCTCTTCCATAACACCCCCGTTTTCCTCAGATCTAAATTTTGTGGAAGCTGGATATATATATATATATATATTTATATATGTTTGCTATTTACTTTTTTCAAAGTTTAAAAACTGGTTTACTTCCCATTGATCTGGTTGTATACCCAATTTTTGTCCTAATTCCTTTGCCTACTAATTTTAATTAAAGTAATTGAATTTATTATGTTATTTATAGAGCTAATTAATCTCTATTTCATCATAAATTTGTAGTAAAGTATGAACTTTTTTGTAAGTTTAATAAAGCATATTTAACTTTAGGTGTGTTTTGAAACATAGGATGAGGAATTATTTAATTTGTGGGAAAAAGGTTGGAAAGTCGATAAAGAATTTTATCAATAGGGAACAAGTACAAATACCCAACATTTGGTGAATAATTAAACCAATTAATTTATTATACCAAAAAAATATATGTACTTAAAGAACCCAACTAGTTGATTCTTTTGATTTTTATAACTGGTTTTAATACCATATATCAACTAAAGGATCCTTTGCATTTCTTTATTTAAAGGTGAGTAATGTTCAGCTAATCTTTTTTTTGTCAGAATAATCAATTAATTTAGGGTTAATATTTATTCAAATCATTTCTTAATAAAAAATTTTTTATCTTTATATTTAATTTAAAATCATTAAATTTTTAGTCATAGATTTAATTGAGAGTGCATTACTCACTTTTGGGTAAAGTAGTGGAATGTTAATTAATTATGTTCCTGCCATTATGTTTGTTAATGGCTTGTATCCTTGAACTAAAGTTTACCATGATAAATAGCATGATCAAAACATTGGAGAGGTACCAGAAGTGCAACTATGGAGCTCCAGAGACAAATGTATCAGCCAGGGAAGCTCTGGTAATGCATATTAACCTCTGCAACTTATTTTTACTTACACTGCCTCTTGCCTTCTGCTTGCTCTTTGTTCTTTATTAGAGTTTAGACTGCTTCTCTATATTACATTAATTACACTTGACTTGGCAATATTCATGTTACTCTTTGTTGTCTAAGAACTAATCTTGTTTAACATGTAGTTAGAAATAGATATTTTGTCAAAAATATTACGGAAAAACATATGCCTTTGCTACAAGTGATCAGATCTTTCCCACTTTGCTTTTTGTTGTTTGTGTTTGCATTATTCCAAATAAAATGTGCCCAATGACGGATTTTAATATAAAATTTTGAAGGAACCAACTAATAATATATAATTTTTTATTTTTTTTAAAAATGTATTTTATCATACTATTAATATATATGTGCAAATAATATACTAATAAAAACATGATAAACTCATAAAATTGTAAAACAAAAATATTTCTATGACAATATTATTCTTTTAATAATAACATGATTTACAATAAACCATAACTAATTACATAAGCTAAATCTCTCACAATGAGCTATAGAATTACTAATTATATAAGCTAAATCTCTCTTTCCCTAAATTTTCTAAACGTTGACTTCACTTGTATTAAAAAAAAAAAAAAAAAGAAAAACACATTTGGTGCTTGGTGGAAAACTTGAATCTTGTTGAAAGAGTTGAAAAGTTAATTTGATTTTTGTTATGTTCATTTAAAAATGATGCCAAATCTCTTGATTTTAAGAATTTATAAGTAATAACTATTGGATACAATAAATAAACAAATATTAATGCTATTTGAATATCTCTTAAATTGCAATACATAAAATTAAGTTGTGAAACATAAAAAATAATAAAATTAACATTTTTAATTTAGAGGACTAATTTAAATATAATTAATATTAATATATATACATGCTAAAAGGTGTTTAAAAAATTTTGGGGGGGGGGGGGGGGCAAGGCCACCTCAGGCTCCCATTACCAACCGCCCATGAATGTTTTCCTATATTTGTTGGTACAAGATTAAGCAAATAAAATAAATGACCATGGTCAATCTCTAGATGATCGACAAGGGGAAGACAAAGAATAAAGCAGAGAAAATGCAATATGAAAATTCGTACTGAGACCAATCTTGGGTGTCCTTAATTAATGTCCTCTGAATGATAAAAACTTGGTAGTGAACGAAATAACCTTATATTTCCATGCATGAGGAGTTAGGTTATTACCATTGTCTACAAATTGACTCACTATTCGCTAGCATTTGTTAACTTTTTTGGTAACTTAAGCAGAACCCTCACCAAAATGCCATGTCTACCTAGTTGAAGATGTTGCAATTAGGGAAAAAAAAAGCAGCATCATTTTATCATTTTATGTAACCTTTTTGGTCCACAAATCCATAATAGCCGCAAACAGTAGTTGAAGAAGTACTGTTTGCTTGTGTGTTTGTGCGAATACATGTAACAAATGTTTAGTTTATTAATAAAGTTGGATTTCATTAGAATTACGAACTTTTATAAAATGAAAGAAAAAAAAACAGTGAAAGAAAATGTACGTAATATCTTATGCATTGGCTTACATTTTCTTCAACTTGATAATGATTAAAACAACAAACAGTGTGCATTGCAATTTGTCTATTTTGATCTATGCTGAAATTGCTGCAATCTGTAGTTTTAAAGAAAGAGAAGAATCATCTAACCTTGCATTCAGAAGCATACTACTATAAACTAGTACTAGTTTCAGAAATTATTTGAAGTCAGGAATACTAATTAGGAAAATGTTCAGAGAAGGTTATTGCACAAGTAAAAGGAAGCAACTCCAGAATTAGTGAAGAAAAATGAACATGCTCTCATTTAGCCGACAAATATAAACTTGGTTATAAACAATAACAAATTAAATACTGTCACAGCTGTGTAACCTGTTAGTAAAATGTTAAATTTTTAATTCTAGTGACCAAGATTCAAATCCCATTAACTTCAAATATAAAAATAATAATAATAAATTAAATACATGCAAATTATAAGATAAAGTATGTTGAAATAGCCAATCGGAGGTTAGTATAGATATAAAAATGCTGCAAAATATTGTGTAAAGTTTTATGACAACTCAAGTTAAAATTTTTGTATGTGTATCACATATTGCAATTCCCATCAATGCTGTAAATGTATTTTGCATGCTGTCTCTATAGGAGTTAAGCAGTCAACAGGAATATCTGAAGCTTAAAGCACGTTATGAAGCCCTACAAAGGTCCCAAAGGTGAGTGAGCAACCATTGAAATGACCAAAACTCTTGGTAAATTTTATGCTAACACGCGTAGGCCGTTTGAAGTATGGACATGGCTCATTATTTCCTTGATTTATATTACTAGGAATTTACTAGGAGAAGATCTGGGCCCTCTAAACAGCAAAGAGCTTGAGTCGCTTGAGAGGCAGCTTGATTCATCATTGAAGCAGATCAGATCAACGCGGGTACTTTAACTTAACTCCAGAATCTACTACTTACATCGTGTTTACATTAAAAAAAATCCTTTTTTCATACATTGTATTGAAGCCTTGCATCTATTTAGTTGGGAGTGGCCAATCTCTCTCTGTGTGTGGAAAAAGGGACACGAGCGGAATATGCTGAAGTCCCAACTTTTTCTTATGGGTGAAAACAGCAATCCTAAGTCCTAACATATACAACATGTTCAATGTCGCAAGCATGCTTAGAGAAATAATAACATTAATTGTAGATTTTTTTTACAATAATCCTTAACCAAAAAAAAAAAAAACAACACAAGCAAACAACACTTATTTATGAAAACCACTTTACAAGATTTTGAGTTCTATTCACATCTAAGACCGTCAGCAACTTCATTAACCTCTCATGGTATATGAAAATCTTACCAAGTTCCTAGTTGTTGTTTCAAGGTTTTCATATGCAGTGTGTGATTTTTTAATCTCCAAAGAGTATTGTTAAACGATTTGACCTAATTCACCTTGTTTAAAGAGTCACTTTCAATAAGCAAAGTATGATTGCTAGCCCACGAGGAGGTCACAAACAAAATGAGTGCTCCCTTTTTATTGCCAACAATTAACATTAATTGTAAATTAATGAGTAGTTTGAGTGTTTTATTCAAAATATGTTGGTAAGTTATTTAAATGTTCTTTGTTCTAATTGTAAGCATGATTGAGCTTTTTGGTTCCTCAGTTCTGTAAAAATGCTACTCCCGCCGTCCTATTTTGATTCCCCCATATTAATTTTTGGATTAGTGAATCAATCTTTGATAATTATTTTTAACAAAATTTTAAAATTTTAAAATTAAGATTCGTAAATTTTGAGTTTCAAATTTTTAAAAACATATTTTTAAAATTTTAATTTAATATAATATTTTTAAAAATTAAAATTAAATTGGCTTGACAAAAATTAAAAAAAGAAAAAGAATAAGTAAAATAAGACAGAGGAAGTATGAGAACATAAAACTGTAAAATATTATCTCCTAGACCTAGATATACTCTTAGGTTAGCTATTAGAATATATATATATATATATATATATATATATGTGTGTGTGTGTGTGTGTGTAATTGCTCTTTTGGGAAAAAAAATAGATAATATATGATTGAAGTTCTATTTTGTACATTTTCTTTTCTTTCCCGTAGATGCTTCTTATTAGTGAAAATTGGGTTTCTCATTTCACTATTGTTCTGTTGTTTGTAGACCCAATACATGCTGGATCAGCTCACTGATCTCCAACGGAAGGTTTGCAATTATATTAATTAAAATTCTTAAATTTCAAACTCAGTTTCTTATCTGTCTCACCAATGCAATATTATTCATTCTCTTTAATGCAGGAACATCTGCTTAATGAAGCCAATAGGACCCTAAAACAAAGGGTAGGTTATTTTTTTAACTTCATGGTTACCAAATTAAGCAGGAAGGGAATTGCCTTCAATTCTATATTTCCCAATCTTAATCTTTCCGTTTAAAAATCATGACATACTCGAATTCTGGTTATGATGTTCCTCCTTTATTTGTGCTCACCAATCAAACTCACAAACTCAACTTTATCTATTGAGACAATCAAAATATCAATTATCTAAGAACTTATTCAATGACTTGTGGACCGGTGGTTTTGTAGTTGATGGAAGGCTACCAAGTAAATTCACTCCAGTTGAATCCAAATCCAGAAGATGTCGGCTATGGCCGACAGCCATCTCACCAGCCTCAGTGTGATGGCTTCTTTCACCCATTGGAGTGTGAGCCAACATTACAAATTGGGTAGGGCCTTCTGAATTTACAAAATTCATCAGTTTTTTTCCCTTAAATTTGTGGTGATTAATTGGAAGACAGTACTAAGATATTTCCTGGTAGTGATACTAAAAAGAAAAAGCTATATCGTTTTAAGCTACATACTCAGGATTCTTGTTACCATGAACCAAAACAAACCATTGCTGATAAAACTACAATCTTACTTACTTTGCTGATTTGTGGAATTACAGATATCAGCCTGATCCTATATCGGTGGTCACCGCGGGCCCAAGTTTGAATAATTATATGACAGGATGGCTACCATGATATATATATATATATATATATATATATATATATATATATAGATAAATAAGAAGAAAGCATGGGCAAATCATGCATGCATGGTATAAAACTATGCATTCCTTCAAAGAATCAGCACATTTTATTATCATCTATTTGTATGTTATTTGATGATACAGAATATATGTTATGGCAGGGATTTAATATTATTATAACTTTGTCTTTAATTAGGATGCAGTGTAAGTAACGACTTGTGTGAGCTCTCAAGCACTGCGCATCATCTTTCATTGAGCAGTTTAATTTGTTTGAAATAATGTGTTTGCTTGTAAGACGATTCAAACTTTGTGCATCTACTTAATTTGTTTTGTTTTTGTTTCGTTCTTAGCCAAAAAAACACTTTGTTTAATCTATGTAAGAGAAAATATTGCATAAATCTTTCTTATAATGTCAGTCCTAAGTTCAATCGTTCAAGACATAACTTGCCATTAATAATGATCATTTCAACATGTATGGGTCACACTTCACTAACATCGTCATTATAAACATGGATTCATATATGTTGATATGATAAATTTAATGATGTCATGTATTTTGATTGGTTGGACTGACAATTAAGATGATTATAAATATGTTGGTTTATGTATGTTGATATGACATGTTCCAATTACATGTTATCTTGGTTAGTTAGAGCTACACAATTAACATAATGGAAATACAAAGATCTATACATAATAATTTCTTCCTCTATGGCTCTTTTCACCTGTTTAGATTTCAGGCGATCCTGGAAATCCTTGTGAATTTTGTGATGTAAAGGAGAAAAGATCCAAAAAAATGGGAGTGTAAATAGGGCGGGAGACATTGCTATCCCATTACCTTTTGCATGAAGTGAGAAGCAAGCCCATGTATACCGGCCACTTCTCGTGATTTTAGTTGGGGAAATGCAAGCCCAAAAGTGTTTGGTTGGAGGGTCAAAAGCCCAGTCAGGGTGTTGTTGAAACCGCAGTTCCACTTCGGTGGGGTGGGGTGATGAAGTCATGTCATACGTCTAGAGTCACTCTGTAGATTGTGGAGTCTCAAATAGTAATTAAAGCCGAATGGTGCAGTGGCTCTAAGAAATTCAGAATCCCAATCCCCCACCAGGAAAAGAAGGATCAATCATTCAATTGTCTTGGATTGGACTTCGGGTCTTTCGGCAGTGGACCATGGTTCACAATAGTGGCGCCATCCAAGCGTTGGGTCCCATCCCCGTCCTGTCAAGGCCCTCTAATGCTACTGTGTAGGCATACTTATGGATTTTGTTTTTTCCTTTTTAATTTGAGCACGTGAGACAAATGAAATAATTATATATTTTTTAATTATTAAAACTTGTCGTTTTCTTTTATGTCAAATCGCTATCAGATTTATTTACATCATTAATAATTAAACAAGTAATGACATATTTTTCTGATATTTGAAAATTTTCAACTCTTAACTGTTTTTTTAAGTTTATTTTTATCAATATGTAAAAACTTAAATTAACTTAGGCTTTTTAACTTCATTGAAATATGGGATAACAAATCACTGGCAAAAAGAGAAATCAATGGGCTGGAAAATACCCCTGCCCTAAGTGGTTAAACTGGAACTGCCGTTAATGAATAAGCCTGAAAGCTGCTCCCACTGTTTTCATAAAGATGTGACGTGCCATTTTTCTTTTCCCTCTCTTTATTTAGTATCATTTATGTGTGGAACGGTAGGCAAGTACGACGTTAAAGATTTCATTATAATACAGTGTTATGTGTTTTTTATATTACGATTGATACTTAAATTCAAATTTTTTAATTTTAAAATCAATTTCAATACCTGCCTTCACTAACAATAGTGGCCTTCTCTGCACTAACAATTATTTTTCAAGATATTCCATATCTTTACCCTTTTTTTTTCCTTAAAAGTATATATGAAAATTTTCAAAATAAAAAAAATGAATAATAAGAATTTAAATTTTATATATTATTAATAAATTGATAATATTATATTATTAATAAGTAAATATTAGTCTTTAAAAGGCATTTGGTTCTCAAAATTTTAAATTCCAAAAAAAAATATAATTCACAAGAAAGTACAATATTTGAGTTTTTTTTTTTATTTTTAAGATATCTTATATTCATATTTACTTATTTAATTTGAAAGAATTTATATATATATATTAATTTTTAAATAATTATCATAATATTTTTTATATATACGATGATAATTTTTTATTAATTTTTATTAACAATACTCATCCAAACGATAAATAATATCTTTAGTAATAAAAGAGACAAATATTTTATTTGATTATTATTTTTATTTATAAAATATCATTAATTAATATGTTTAACACTTTTTTTTAATAATAGAAATTGATAAAAAATAGTTTAAAAAATCAATTAATCTCTTTACCATTTTTTTATATAATGAAAATAATAAAAAATATCATTTTAATTTATTTATAAAAAGATTATTAAAGATATATTTTGTTAAAAAAACATCTTAAATAATTAGTTATATAGTCTTAAAAGATATTATTTAATGTGTTTTTTATACAAAATTTACTTAAATATTTTTTTAAAATAAATTAAAAGATTATTTAAGACTTTTTTTATTTAAAAATATCTTAAATAATTTTTTTATATTTTTATAAATGACATAATTTCAAATTTTTTAAAAAAAATATCTTAAATAATTTTTTTATGTTTTTATAAAAAAAACGTTTTTCAAGAAAACGTCTGAATAATAAATATTACAGGGTTTTCAAGAATTTTAGAAAGTGAACGAGACAAAACATGGTTAGTAAGAGATCACGCCCTCGAATACACGATGATATGCTACTCACTCCTAGGGATGGCGAGTTAACCCGTCCCCGACGGGTTCCGGTCCGACCCGACCTCACGGGGTCGGGTTTTTTTTTTAAAATTTGGGTTTCGGGGTCGGATCGGGTCGGATACAATAAGAAAACAGTCGGGGTCGGGTCGGCGTCGGGTTTACCTAAAACCCGACCCGACTCGACCCGATATTATATAAAAAATTATTTTTTAATTAATTATTTAATTTTTTATTATATATATTTATATAATGATATTTTAAAATATTTATATTTAAAAAATAATATTTTATATTTAAAAAAATAATATTTTATTAATTTCAGGTCGGATCGGGTCGGGTACGGTTGCGTGGTGTCGGGGGTCGGGTTGGGTTCGGGTATGAAAAATCAAAAAAAAATTTGGGTAAGATCGGGTTCGGGTTTAATAAAGCTTAAATCAGGTCGGATTCGGAGCGAGCAAAACCCGCCCCGAACCCGACCCGATGCCAACCCTACTCACTCCGCTTGTGGTTGATTTCCACATGGATGATATTTATTGGATGATCAACGTCATTGTATGCTGGTTGGAAAACAAAGTCATTGCAGGCAAGTACATCTGGCGTTATCTTTTTAAAGCATGTGATTGATTTGGGCATGTGGTTCATTTCTGGAGATATTTTTTTGTTCAAACAAATTAAATCTTTCCACGTCATTTTTGTTGCATTTCAATTGGTTTTATTTTTTAAGTTTCGTGGTTTGACCTGCTGGGATACAATTTTGTTTCTCTTTTATTAATCAAGAATTAACGGCTACGATTTTTTTTTTGTTAATAGAAATTTAGTTAACGAGAGATTACATTTTTTTAAGATCGGTTGATGTAATAAGTTATAAAAACTTTAAAATATATTTTTATTTAAAATTTTCAAATATTAGTTTTTAAATATACAAAAGTTAGATTTTTTATTTCATTAAATTTTTAAATATTTTATTTTAATGAATTAAATTTTTATTAAAGAAAAAATAGTTAGTGGCTTTCGTTCAATCGAGAAATTAATAAAATGAAAATAAATATATAAAAATTTAATTAAATAAAATTATATATTTAAATATTTAACTAATTCAAAATAAATTATATAAAATTTAATTAATTGTAATTAAATATAAAAAATTTAATTAATTATTAAATTTTTATTTAAATATATTTTTTTAATTCTTATGCTTTTTAAATATTAAACATTATTTAAGGTATTTAAAAAAAAAAACACCTTAAATAATAATCATTTATAGAATTTCATCAACTTAAACAACTTAAAAGATTGATTATTTAAGATATATTTTTTTAAATATCATTAATTGTAATATAAAAAAATTTTAGTATTTAAAAATTTGTAATTGAGTTACAATCATTTTCATACGAGCTTTTCAAAAAGATAACGATTATTTTATAATTTTTTATTTAAATTAAATTTAAAAATAACATAATTTCTCTCATTTAATCATATAATACATCAAGTGAAGGTAAATCTTTTATTTTGAGACTTTGAATATTATTGAAAATATGTCACTTTTTTATGTAATTTGATTGGTTTAATCAATTATTAAAATCAAATACTCACTAATAAGATTTCGAGATAAAATTTATAATTTTTTTAAAATAAAACACCGTTTTAAAATAATATATAAAATATTAATATTTTAAATTTTTTATTTATAAATAAAATAATTTAATTTAATTCATATCATTTGATTCATTGATAATATATAAAATTTATATACTTATATTACATTAAATTTAAATTATAATAATATTATATTCAAAAAATAAATAATATATCATTTATAATTGTTATGTTATAATTAATTATAATTTAAAATTAGATAAGATTCATTAAAATTTTATATAAAATATATATTTATAAATAATATAATTTTATTATAATTAAATAATTATAAAATTATAATAAAATTTTATAGATAAAACGCATCCATATAAACTATGTTTGACATTTCCAACCTTTTATGCCATTTATTAATTGTCCACGTGCTACCGACCCCATTCGCTATTACCTCTCTTGTCGATTCTGATATGCAACTTGACAAAATGGAAATCATTGGCAGGCTTGCAATTGGGTCCTCGTGGGCCCTGTTTTAAGCCGACTCGGTTCTGTTTTTGTCCGGTAGCATAGCGCACCGCAGCTCCCAATTTGCAGTCAGGTGTGACAATCGCATGTGAAATTCCCAAACGTGTCAAAATATGATCCGCCAGTGAGACATCATTATTCCCGATATCTCTGCCCTATTTTCTCTTATCGGTCTTTTTCGTTTCGTTTATTATTTTTATTATTAAATTACCTTTCATCTGCTAAAGTGGATTTTTTTTCCTTATTTAGTAAAGGTAACTAAGGAAGTAAATGGAAAAAGGGGAAAACCCTTCTTCAGTAATTTGGTCTCTCTCTCTATCTGACAGCCGACCTCCGTTTGGATAGAAGTTCAATTGTTACGATAAATTGTACCAATATAATTTATAAATTCAAATAATGTAATGATGCAGCGCGGTTTACGTCAATTTCATAAGAGATAGAATTTTCAGTGGTTCAACGCAATTGCTTTATGTTTTTTGTTTCTACTTTTCTCCTGTAGTCAATAACTTTAATACTTTATATTTATTTTTTATTTAAAAATTATAAAGTAATTTTATTAACTTAATCTAAAATAAAATTTATTATCTAATAAATAAATTTTAATTACTTATTTATAAAATTATTATTTAATTTTAAAACAATTTAATATTTATCAATTATTTATTAATTTTATAAATATTAAATTATTTATTAATTTTATAAATATTAAATTATTTAATATTTTTAATATGTATAATTTTTAGTCTATATCTTAAAATTTTTTTTCTCCCTACAATTTATGTCACCATCATCCTCTTTTTATATCCGAACACATTCTATCATTAATTTTAATCTTATTATTATAATATTTAATTTTATTTTTATTATTATTATTATTTTTATTAAAATTAATCTTATCATGTATCTAAATAAATTTTAAATTTAAAATAATTATTTCACATAATTTTTTAATTAAATAAATATAAAAGACAAAAAATTAAGAATAAATTAAAAATTTTAAAAATAACACAATACTGTAGGGGCCAAATAACGCAGAATTTTAGCATGCGCTTACTTCTAACATCATAGTATTAATAATTGATTGTATTTTTTTTAACTTAAGATTTAATTTAAATAATTAATTTTTTTTAAAGAGTTGGATTGCAGCAAAGCTGAAATTTAATCATAAATATTTACAAATTTTTATTTTTTAATTTTTTTAAGCATCGATCTCTGTTATGTAAAAATGAATGCATGTATTTTCCTCTCTCTAATGTGGCTCTCCCACATAGTTATCCACGTCTGGTTCGTTTTTTTTAAATTATTATCTGTTTGATTTTTCTACCTAAGAACACGGTTTCTGAGTGTGATATCTTTGACTTGATTGCACATCATAAAAAGCAATCATTTTTCATTTTTTATTCATGGGTTCATTAACAATGGCATCGTTTGCAATCTCGGAGTATGTGCAAATTTTAATACGAAAAAATTGTTTCATCTGTTTCACATTTTTTGTAAAGCTTTTTATACTTGAATATGGGACAAGCGCTATTGAAGTTTCAAAGTCCCTTGATAATTAGAGTAAAATGGGTTGGATGGCACATGATAATTTAAATATAATGTGGATTATGTTTGGCATAATTCGTTATTAAATAATTGACTTAAGTTAAATACGATATATTTGTACATATCATAGTAGGCTTAAGGATTTTAAATTTATAAGTTGATATGACACGATTTATTAAATATTAATATTAATATGTAACATATAAATTAATAAAAAATTTAAATGATATTTTGATTATATAACACGATGTATAAATTTTTATAAATTTTATTTATATTTTTTAAATTTTTAATATTTTATTAATAATTTATAAAAATAAAATTGTATTAAATAAATCTCTTTATAAAATACTAAATTATTGTTAGATGAATATATAATCAATTCATTTTGAATATAAAAATGTATGATATCTCACTTTTTTATGGAGAAAATTTTTCATGAAAGCTACACTACAAGTAAATTAAAACTCATAAAAAAACTACTAAAGTAAAAAAAAAAAAAAAGTACCACTTGATCTAATAGGAATAAAAATAACTAAGATATCTTTAGTAGGACTAAAACAAAAGCGGATACTATTGAAATATGTATATTATTTAAAAATTAATTAAATGAAAAAGTTTAATCACAAGACAAAGCATATTATATAAGTTAATTATTATACGATGAAAATGATAAATAAAATAAGAGATTTATGATATGTTTGATATGTAATATTGTGATAAGATAAGATAAAATGATATTATAAATATGATTAGATTAAATCATATATTACGTTTTAGGCGTGTAAAAATTAAAATAAGATAATTTATTTATTAATCAAAATTATATTTTTTTAAATTTTATGAAATTTAAATTATTGATATAATTTTTAAAGATTGATATAATACGATATATAAGTTTAATCTCATTAATTTAAAAATAAATTTCTTCACTTTTGGAGAATTAACTTATCTCATACTAAGAAAACGATAAATGATTAATCCTTATTGTAATATTATCATTATCTTTAAATACAAATAAAGAATAATTTATAATTATTATCATTTTATCTTATTCATCATCTTATGCACTAAAAAAAACTGTCTTATAATCGACTTTTTGTGTTTTAAAATATTAGAATTGTAAATTTTAATATATTTATTTAATAAATTTTATTATATTTTTAAAATATTTTATCGAACTACATAAATTATATCTTTTTATCTTATTTTATTTATTTATCCTACATATTATTTTTAATAATAGATAAAAATAAAAATATTAAAAAAACTATTAATAAAATCGTACTTGATATGACATATCTTATAAATATTATATATCATGTGAAATTATTCTCTTAATTTTTATGAATCATGTCAACATGAGCCATTAAAAAATAGTACCGAGTGACGCGTCTTGACACCTCTTGTTTTGGCATTGCGCATCGAATAAATCGATTGTTGTTCAAAAATATTAAAATACTAATCTTTTAAATAATTTTTATATTTAAAAATTAAATTTAAATAAAAATATATTTTACTTGTTAAATAATAATTTTTAGATTTGAGCTTCAAAATTCTTATTTGATATCCGGCTCGAGAACCTGATCCACGGATCAAAAGAATAACCTGATTCATTGCCATAATTATTTTGTTCATTCTTGAAAAATAGATCTCCAAGCCTCGGTGTGAGGACATATCGAGGACAAATGGTTTCTCCTTGGAAAAAGAAAAAAAAAAAACCCCAAAAAAGGTTTTAAATATACAATTTAAGTAACAAGCAAACGGAACTACTAAAATGCCCATTGCCTTACCGACCCTCTCCCAAAAGAAAAAAAAAAGTAGCCGCAATGAAAGACGACATGCTCACAAGCCACGTGTCATAGAAGCGGGGTTTGCCGTTATCAAGGCCACACATCGACGGACTTACTTTCTTCTAGTACTGCTGCTAAATGCTAAGTAAGTTACTTACTTCCCAGGCCCCTCATTTTTCTTTAAATACCTCATCCATATCACTTATTCCATTAACTTTCTGCTTTTGTTTCCCCTATTCTTTCTTCTTCCCCGGAAGACAAATAAAGTAAATTAAAAAAGATAGGGCAAAAACCATCCGAAAATGGGGAGGAGGAAGGTGGAGATGAAGCGAATCGAAGATAAGAGCAGTCGCCAAGTTACCTTTTCAAAACGCCGCTCCGGCTTGATCAAGAAGGCTCATGAACTCTCCGTTCTCTGCGACGTCGAGATCGCTCTCGTTATCTTCTCTAGCCGCGGCAGGCTCTACGAGTTCTCTAGCGCCGACAGGTACGCTTTTCTCCCCCTCTCTACTCTCTTTTATCGCTTCGTCTCCCTCTCTTTGCTCTGCGTTTTGGTTTCTGAGAGAGTCTAACGTAAAGTCAATTATAATTCAAACAATTTTAATAGTACTACCAAAGCTTATTTCTTTTTTGTTTGTTAATGTACGTTTTCGACTTTTCCTTTCTTTCTATATCCGTGCACTTTATATATATTTCTATTCTTTATTAATGCCGTAATTGATCCCTAGGGATCTAGAACTCTTATGTTTGGGAACTCAAGCGCTTTTCCATTATTTTATGTCTAGAATGGTGAGTCCTTGTCTTTAAGATAAGCCGATTTAGTTCTACCTTTTCTTTTGTCTATTACCATATAGTTTATTATATTTTTTTAATTGGTTGCTCGTATTAAGTATGCATGTTTTTTGTTTTTGTTTTTTACTTTTTGTTATTGTATTTTAGTTTTATTTTATTTTATTTTTGTTCTCGTATGGCTTCTCTAAAACGTGGTTCAAACTTAAAAATTTAAGGCATCTTTAGTCATTGCTTTAGGATTCTTTGATATTTGCTTTTGCGTAAAAGAGTTGTTTCCTGTTGTTCGAATTCATCATTCAAGCCACAGTGAAGATGCCCGCAAGCTGATTTGTGTTGGTCGGCTTTTCTATTGACTTTTGATATATTCGTACGTAACCACGTTTTCTCTTTCTTTTTTTTTTTCTCATCTTAGATTCTTAGGAAGCAACCTATTTATATATTTTTTTGTCTAATTACGAAAAAAAATAAGGCGTTTGGTCCATTGCCTGTCCCTCCAGAGCTGTTCATAAGGTTTTTCCACGTTTGATTTTGACCAAGTGAAACATTAAACATGACAGATAATTGTTGAGGATAAGTTGGGACTACCAGGAAGTGAATCGATCCATTTGTAGTGGATTAACAAGAGGAAGGCTGCTAGGCTCAGTGCAAGAAAAATGCAAAAAAATAAAAATAAAAAATAAAGGAGGATCTTGATTTATGATGAAGAACCAAAGTGGATGATCAATATTTTGCAGTAAGTTGAGGATTTTTTGAATGAATTAAGGTGCAGGCTTTGGTCATGAACCGTTCGAGGGGTTTGATTCTATTGGCCAGAGTTTAAATCTTGACTCCTGTTGAAACTTGGAGGTCACCATGCATTAAGCATGACTTGAGAAGTTATTTAAATGGTTTTAGGAAACTCTCGATGTTAGGATTTTGGTTTTTTTTTTTTTTCTTTCAAGCAATACGAAAAGAGAGAAAGGATTATATCATCATAGTTGCAAAAAGTGATGATATCTTGTCCTCTAGGGAAATTTAACATAAACTATTTGAGGAAAATTCATTGAACTTTGGATACAAACCTCGACATCTCGGCCTCAAAAATAATATGCAAGTAAACATGGTTTCCACAAGGTGTTAGTTTGGTTTTTGAGATAGCAGTCTAGTGTTTAGGCCTAAAATATATGCACATGCGCTTGGTTATATAGGGTCTGCAACGAGGCAATTGGGATGCCAAAGTCGTAAATCTCATATAAGTATGCAAGTTCCTTGAGAGTAGTTATTTACTTGTTTGATAATTAGTGGGAAAATAAAGATTTAGATAGTCATTTGATGATTGGTAAGTAGATATCTCAACTACAAATGATTGTTGGAATTTTAGCAAAAATGTAAGGCACCAATGGAGAAAGTCTGAGAATGAGTTATAATGAAATAATTAGGATTTTGCCCCAAGCTACTTTGCCCATTGAAGAAGAAAAAAAGGACATAAGTTGAATATTGGGTTGAAACTGAATCAACAAATAGACTTGACATAAACAAATATTGGCATTACATAAGAACTAAAGTTGTTTATAAAAAGAAGATTAAGAACAAGGTATAATGGATTAACGATGGGGAAAAACCATGTGATATAAAAGATTTTAGTTGCAGTTCTAATCAATATGGGTACTATTGTGATTGCAGAAAAGTTACAAGCAAAATTATTGTTTTTGATATGAGATTGTACCTGGCGAAAGATGTCATGGATGCAGTGAATAGATGAAAATTTTTCATCGTCATTTATAAAGAATAAATATATTAGACATGGAAATGTTGATGATAGTTCAATTGTTTCTTCATTTCAATGTCAGTGGTTTTAACTTCCACAAATTTAGTAAATTGCAAATTAGAATTAGAAGCAACTTCGTGTTCCAAACTAGAAAGAGGAAGTATCAAAATAAATATAAAATAGCAATAAGTCTAGTGGACTTTTGGTTAGAAGGTTCTCAAGGTTAATAGGTGATATTCTTCAAGCAAGTAAAACTATTTGGTCGTGATAAGTGTTTTTTTTTTCCCCCTATCATAGGTCAAAATAAGAATATTCTACTCACAAGGGTGCAAGGCAAGAGTCTCCTTTATCAAGTTGGATTTTTTCTTATTGGGATATTTCAAGAGTAAAATCTTGAATACACCAGATTATCATGGAAAAGTGCATCATTAAGATCACCCTAAAAAAAGTTAACCTAGGCAAAGCTTGAAGAAATACATAATCATCTTATGAAAAAAGGAATATTCTTCAACCCAACTAAAAACATATGAATGATTTAAAATTTGCTTAAAAATTGGAAATTTGTAAAGAAAGCAATCAAACAAGGAAGAATGGAATGTGTGAAGCATCTGGTACGTGAAAGAGGTTTAATGTGCCCTAGCCGTTTGAGATGAAGAATGATACTAGGTGAATGGAATGGTCCTAAGGATAGAGGCTAGCCAGTTCCCATTCATCCAGTTCCCTTTTTGGAGGTTCAGTGCTAGGGCTTGAGTTCAAGTTGTAGTTGCGTTCCATGCATAGGATGTTATAGGTTACGGGTTCGATACATTTCCAGTTCCGTTGTACATTCCAGTAGAGTCTTTCCTCTAGATAGAGGACAAGGTTCCAGTGGAGGCAATCTAGGCTCCCAGCTCTGAATTTTGCATGCTTGCTCTTAACCCAACTTTCAAGTTAGCTCTAGACGGGAGGTTGATCAATTCAATGAGTGGCTGAAAACTGAAAGAAAGTTGATGAGACATATTCCCCATTATAAATCTTAGTGCAAAATAGGAATCCAATAACAAAAGATAAAAGCTTTAAAAAGTTAAAAGCATTGAGTACCCTCCGAAATGCCTCAACTTTTTTAGGACAAGTCCGAGTCAAATAGCAATTATTTGAAGCACTTTTTTTTACTCTATTTCAAAAACCTAATGACTCAATCATATGGATATGTAAAATACATGATTTCCAATCCTATTAGGAAAAGGAGGGAAACAAATAATCAAATTAAAGTGAGTAAACAGAATTCTATACTCCATCTCATAGATACATATAGAATTCTGTGGAAAACCGTATTCGATGAAAGTCGCATGTATGGCTTAAAGGGAGATCTTTCATACCTTTCAAGAACCACCCTACAATATGAGGTCTGTGGAAACTGAATTTATATTAAAAAACTGCTTATTTTGAATTATACAAGAATCTTAGGTTTATATACAACTAACTAGGTGTTAAACTAGGAAACTAAATCTTCCTTAATTCTAGAGATACAAATACTTAATTCTAGAGATACAAATATAAATATACAGATTACAAGATTACAACCAGCTGTAAATAAGTGTTTTCTCACACTCTCCCTCAAGCTGGTGAATAGGTGTTTTTCATTTTCAGCTTGAAAATAATTTCTTGAAATGTTGCACTGCTAAGACCTTTAGTCAACACATCTGTAAGTTGACCCTTGGTTGATACATAAGGTGTACAAATCAACCCATTGTCTAGTTTCTCCTTTATGAAATGTCGGTCTACTTCAATGTGTTTTGTTCAGTCATGTTGCACAAGATTGTGTGCAATGCTTATTGCAGACTTGTTATCACAGTAGAGTTTCATTGGGCCATCCCACTTGATCTTCAAGTGTTCTAGGATAATCTTTAACCATAGTAGTTCACAAATTCCTTGAGCCATTGCTTTGAACTCTGCTTCAGCACTTGATCTTGCCACCACATTCTGTTTTTTACTCCTCCAAGTCACAAGATTATCACCTAAGAAAGAGCAGTAGCCTAAGGTGGATCTTCTATCAGTTACTGAACCTGCATAATCAGCATCTGTATATACTTCTAGAACTAACCCCGAATTTCTTTTGAATAAGATACCTCTCCCAGGATTGGCCTTCAAATAATGCAATATACAGTAGATAGCCTATAGGTGCACTTTTTTAGGACTATGCATAAATTGACTTACCACACTCACAGCATATGCTATATCAGGTCTAGTATGTGAGAGATAAATGAGTCTTCCAACTAATCTTTGGTACATCTCTCTATTTACAACAGCATCTTCATTAGCTTCTCCAATTTTATGATTAGGATCTGTAGGGGTATTTGTAGGTTTACATGCAAGCTTCCCAGTTTCCTTCAGAAGATCCATCACATATTTTTGTTGTGAGATAAAAATACCATGCCGTGAGTGAGCTACTTCAATTTCTAGGAAGTATTTCAATCTTTCTAGCTCTTTTATCTCAAATTCTCTAGTCAAACACTGTTTTAGAGATTCTCTCTCTTTTCATTATCTCCAGTTACAATTATATCATCAACATACACTAATAGAACTGTGACTCTCCCTGAACCAGAGTGCTTGATAAACAATGTGTGATCTCCTTGACTCTGTTTATATCCCATTACTAGCATCACTTTGGCAAATCTCCCGAACCAAGCTCTAGGAGACTGTTTAAGGCCATATAAAGCTTTTTTTAGCCTGCATACTTTGTTTGCTTCTAGATGACCTCCAAATCCCGGTGGAACCTTCATATATATTTCTTCTTCCAAATCACCATGTAGAAAAGCATTCTTTACACCAAATTGTTGAAGCTACCAATTGTAATTTGCAGCCAATGATAACAAAATCCTAACTGTATTCATCTTGGCAACTGGAGCAAAGGTTTCTTGGTAATCCACTCCATAGGTTTAAGTGTAGCCCTTAGTCACTAACCTGGC